AGTGCCTTGGTGCGGATCCAGACCTCAGGGCAGAGGAAGCTGTTTTCATGTGGTTTTCTCTTCTTCTTGCTGCTGCTGCGACACACTCTGCACACAATGGTATTTTTTAAAATGATGACACCATAAAACAAACATTGTGCTGGAACGATACTTGTTCTAAGAGGATTTGAGGACTATTTTTAAAGTTGTTGTTGTTTTGTTTTTTTTTTTTAATCAAAGCCAGATAATTATTCCAGTCTAATTTTAACATGTGTGCTGAGGGTATTTCTTTTCATAGGAGTCTCTGAACCGCAGCACAGGGCAGCTGCTCAATAGCTTTATCATCAGCTCTTCATTCCCTTGTCTATATTGTAAATATAGTAGAAACATCACTCTATAAAAACAACAGTGGTGCCATTTTAATCTCAACAGTATTATGTGGATGTATAAATAAAGATTAAAGGTCGTGTATTTGTTTTATTTGAAGTGTTGATCCATCAGAAGATATAAAAACCATCTCAGTGTAGTTTTACATCTCCTCTCTCAGGCTTCTCTCTGGAGCTCTAGTAACAACAGGTCGGTGAGCCAATCAGAAGAGAGGAGGCTCTGAGGAAAAAATATTTGAGAATTCATGTAAATGGTGAAATGAAGTGGTGATGTGCCTGTTGTTCAGAGTTTTTTTTTTATTATTTTTTATTTACACCCTCACAGCTACATAACAGTAAAAAACCATGACTGCTGACCTTGGGACTTTAGCGTCAAAGACTGGCTCCTGGCAAAGGGAGTGTAACCTCTCTGACAGCAAAGGAGTCTGAGAGAGTCTGCAGCTGAAGACGCCTCTGTGCATGTCATCTGAAAAATTCAGCCATGAGTGCTAAAAGATATAAAACAATAAAAGATGATATCACACAAAAAAACACATCGATAAAAATACATTTTTAATTTACAAACTAATTTTACAGAATCTGCAGGTCTCAGATCGTCTGGCAGCTTATTCCATAAGAGTTATTGATCTGGAGTTTGGATCAGTAAGTAATCACCTGTCAGAGGATCTAATGCTGCCCGCTGGCTCATAAGGAGTCCGCACTTGATCCCATTTGATGCTTTTCTTTGTGGCACATGATAGTAAACTTTTGGACAGTTGGTCAGACAAAACAATTCATTTCAAAGTGTCACCTTGGTGTGTGGGCCTTTGGAGGCGTCTTCCCACACCGCCCCCCCAAGAACATGTTTGACCAAGACCTCCAGCCGTCATGACTGTTGTCCGTCAGAAACAAAGGTGGAAGTATCCTGTTGTTATGGAGCTGCAGAGTCCAACTGCGGTGGAGCCCGAGGTGGTGGATGGGAAAACAAATCATCAGACTTAAGACTCACTTCCTGTTTCCTGACCTACAGTGAACATCAGGTTTCCTTTAATCATGACAACAAAGGTTCCAAGTCGTGTTTGTGCCTGAACAAACCTTCATCATAGCGTCACCAGATCAGAGGAATGTTGCATGAATCATTAATGTGACAGTGATTTGAAAAAACACAGGAGAATAAATCTAAGACAACTGGGATTTTTTTGTAAATTATTAACATAATAGTTGTTCTAAGTGTAATTTAACACTAAATTAACCTTTCTGAGTCAGTAAATTAGAGGATCAATCACTTTATTACACTATGTATTGATCCTGGTCCGATTTACAGAAGCTTTTTTTCCTCTTTCAAGAGTGATTCTGTCATATAATTGCTTATAATTGACGTATAAAACATGAATGGCTGTTTGTTAACAATTACTAAAGCCATTAGTTGCAGCTTATAAACTCGTTATACAGGAGGTTTTAATAAAATGTTATGAGGTAGATTTGAATTGTTGCTGTTCAGCAGAATATTTATTATTTGCACTGCTGTATCGTTTCACAGTTAATTACACTGATAACAATCCTGTTTAATTATGATCATTCATAAAGTATAACAGCATGTTGTTGGTAGTGTTATAAATTCATGACAATTAATAACTGTGTATCATAAATAGAGTGACATCTCTGACAGACATGAAATCTAAGAAATGTTTTGTTTTGAATTTTCCTCTAAATAATTAAATTTCATCTGTAATCCTCTCTCCTGCAGTAATTGTCCTCTCACTTTCTTTTTCCATTTGCTGGAGACTTCCCACTGTGCCGACATGTTCCTGTTTACCAAATTCTCACTTTCTAATGTGAGTTCTCTATGAAACCAGGTGTTCGGGCAGAGAAACGGATGAATGAAGGAAGCTCCCTGTCATTCTCTGGTGAATTCGCCCTCTCTCTTTGTTCATGTCACATCCTCTCCTCATCACTTGTTCAGACATGAGCTTTCACTACCTTCTCTGTGGTGTTAGGTACAGCAGCTGTAAGGGGAGCAGGTGACAAATGAGATTGAATTCCTGTTTTCCCTGCAGTGGACTCTAATAGATGCAGCAGACGGACAGCAAGTTGTGGAAGTGCTGAGAGATAAATACACTCAATTTATGTGCAGTGCCACAGATCCGTTTTTCCATTACTTTGGTGTGCTGACATGCAATTTGTCCGGGCCATTCACAATCTAGTGACTGTGTGACCTGATCTCATCGAGCTTTTAATTCACAAGACAAACAGAGCTGCTGTTTTGAGCTCTGGATGCATGTTGGGCCATTTAGAATTTAAATTGACATAATTTGAACAAGAATGGATCGAATGTTGAAGCATGAAATCAAAATACACAAATCCATGAAGCAATTTCCAAAAAAACAAAAAAGACTGGTGGAAAATTTGTGTCCAGCTTTTGTATTTGATAACTTCTGGACACTGTATCCATCATTTATTAGCGATTCATAGCACGCTAAAATGTAGTTATTAAAAGGTAAAGGGCATTTTAAATGATCAATTCATTAATTTATTAAAGAATGAATCATCAGCTGGTGACAATGTTGACGTTTTACCTGAGACCTGTTAGCTTTAAGCCTCAGCAGTTTAGCATGTAGCCCTTAAGTGCGTATTTAAAACTAATTTTACATGATTATCATTTTTAATACAACATTATTGCTTTGCTATTTTTGGTACACCACTCATCTACTCCATGAAACTGTCCAGACACATATGGAGCTTGCCGCCTGCTGGCGGGGAGCAAGCAAGCTAGCGCCGGGTAAGCTAGCTGTCAGGAAAGGGACCTGAGCCCAGCCGGTAAGCTAGCTGCCGAACTTCAGTGTCACACACTGTGTGGGAACTCTGAGCTCCTAGTTTAACGCAGTTGTCTGCTCTGTCACAGTGTCTTTGGGTTAACTAACCAGTGATATTGTTCAACAAAAATATAACTTTTCAATGATTCAGCTACAACAAAAAATCAGTTATTTTATTCGTCGTCTCACATTTGTACTGAGTCACCATCGTCCCAAACAAAACAACAAGAATCAGTGTTTAAGTTATTCATTTTTACCATGCAAGTGAGCCATCTTCCCAATCAAATACTCTCTCTGATAGATTAAAGGCTGGCGGACTTACCTCCGGTACCGTTTGCTGAGGCTGGAAACCGGCTTGATGAAGAGGAGGAGATCCGGTCCGAGTATTTTTACTTAATGGTCGCGGACTGTTCTCAGAGCCAGTTACCGGTTCACCGCGGCCATCTTGCTTTTTTGACGTCCGTATTTAAAAGAAAAAATGGCGCGTATTCTGCTCATTACCACTCTGTTTCTTCCTCGTCCCTTCCTGCTCAACCGACTTCCGCAATTGTCACAGGTGAGCGGTTTTGTTTGTTTGTTGTTGTTTGATTGTTTGTTCCCCAGTGTGCTTTTATTACGCTGTTATTTGTAGGAGTATGTTGAGAAAGACTGGGCCGAGCCTGGGCCGAGAGAGCCGGTATTCTGGCGAGTTTTGCCGCTTTGTCCTGGATGCCGAATCTAAAAAATGGCGCCCATTCAGTTCTGTAAGAATTGCTCGCCTGACGCCATAGATGTATTATCATGGGACACGCAGGAAAGAGTAAACCAGCAAACAGGAAGTCCAGAAAAACAAAAAATCCATAAACTTGAGTAAAGAAGTTCAAAAGTTCATAAACTGCAATTTTTTGACTGTAACAAAACACTTATTAACTGATGTATAAATCACATGAGGGTTTAAAACTGTCTCAGAACTAATGAACACAAACTGAACAAGAAATTCTCAACTCAATGTCCACTTATTAGGTTTCTTGCAGAGCTTTCAGCCTTGATCATCAAATGGAATTAGTTGCAGTAGTCATAGATACGGAAGAAAAAGCATTTATAAAAAATAAAATAATAGTAATATAGCTAATAAAATAATACGTTTAACACAATAAATCAAAAAGAATTATTATAAGTACATTATTTACATTTCATATTAATGATTATAGCTGTTTTATCTTTTATAGAATAGAATTGTGGACACATATACTAATAAATTATTATTTATTATCTATAGACTATGTCTTATAAACCAATTAATATAAATATAATAACTATAATTGTTCTTATACTGTTTGGAAATTACAACACATCACATTATATAAGCCAATATCATCAGAGCGACTGAGGTCTAATCCTGCCGAGGTCGTATCAGGGGTCCAGAAAAGTTCTGCTGAATTACAGGATGGATGATATCGACCAGACAACACCAAGACTAGTCAGATTGGTGTGTTTACAGGGGTGTGTGTGTGTGTGTGTGTGTGTGTGTGTGTGTGTGTGTGTGTGAGTGTGAGTGTGTGTGACGGGGGAGTGAACAGTGCAGGGAGAGGGGGGGGGTGGAGGGGGGTGGAGGAGAACGTCAATGGTTGCTGAGCTGCGTTGTGCGCTCTGGTGCGGTGATGTCCTCCGGAGCGCGCGGTTTCACGGTGCGTAAAGACGCTTCCACCACAACACGTGCGCGACCTGCTCTTATCTACATTTTCACACGGACTTCTTCTTTTCCCTCCAGAGAGAAATCACTCCCAGTAACAGGATATAACCTTTTTTTCTTTTCTTTTTTTTTTAAACATCCAGCTCACGGAACCAGTCTGATGCCCAGAAGATGGACCCTCTCTACAACGGCACCGACTGTAACGGGACGGGCGTCTCCGTGAACTGCAGCGACGGCTTCAACCAGTTCGTCCAGCCGCTGTGGCAGATCACACTGTGGGCTGTGGCGTACTGCAGCATGGTGGCGGTGTCTGTGGTCGGTAACGTGGTGGTTATCTGGATTATTCTGGCCCATAAACGCATGAGGACCGTCACCAACTACTTTCTGGTAAACACCGTGAGTCTACTGTGTGTTATAGACAATAATAATTAAAAAAAAATTAAACTTTTTTTAACTGTTGCCTCTAGGAAATACTGAAGGATGACATTCAATGTTTCTCACCTCTAAAATGGATTACTAAGATTACTATAAGACAAGTATCAGGTGTATCCATGACAACTGATTATACAGAGAAGATGATACATACTTTTTCTATGTGCTTGGACACCAAATAGATCAATTCCATCGCCTGACTGGTTTAATACGAAATTAATTAAAAATATTAAATATTCTGTGAATTAAATGAATCATTCAAACTCTCTTGACTCATACAATAAAAACACATTGTCATCAGTTTGGAGAACACAGGTGATATAATATAATATATAATCCGCTAATTGTGAAAATCAGTGCATCATTTTTAACATGGACTCTACTTACCTCAGGATTTAACTTAACGATTATTTTCAGTATCAGTTCATACAACAGTTGTTTTCCTGATCATTAAATAAAATAAAATATCAGAAAATCTGACCCAGATTTGTGCATAGTTAGAGCAGAATTTTCTTATTTGCATAAACGGATGCAAATACAATGAATTTATGATTTTAGAGCCGCAGACTGAGGTGACGTCTCGTTTACTGTCATGTTTGACAGAAGAAAGCATCAAACTCTCACATGTGACAGGCGTTGAGTGTTGTGTTGATCATCCACTTGATTCAATGACTAATTTCAAAAATACAGTGAACGCCTTTGCTGTACATCAGAGGTGAACTGTGTGTTTACTGTCGGTCAGGACGAGCCCTCTCCTCTCCTGCATTCATACAGCAGAGAGGGAGAAGGGAGGTTTGTGCCCTGAGTTTCCTCCCAGGTCTGACCCCAACGAATCAGATGTTTTAGGTTGTTGCTGTTTGTTCAGGGTACCAGTAGATTTAATGTGTGATGTCGGACTGATCCTCATTATCGGAGGGAGGTATTCATGTTGTGTAATTTCATTTCAGTTGCAAGATCACAAAATGTGTTGTGGCAGGAAAAAGCCTCCTCTCTCTGCAGCTCTGCGCGGAGGCAGCGGCTCAGTGGAAATTTGAATATGTGTTTGCAGGGAGAAAATCACGCATCCAGAGTTTGACACATAGTTATGTTTAACTCCTGGTCTACTGACTGAGACTTAACGTTAACTCAGTCATTCTGTTACTTCTGCAGGTGAACCTGGCCTTCGCTGAAGCCGCCATGTCAGCTTTCAACACAGTGATCAACTTTGCCTACGCCGTTCACAACGAGTGGTACTTTGGTGTGGTTTACTGCCGCTTCCACAACTTCTTCCCTATCGCCGCCATATTTGCCAGCATTTACTCCATGACGGCCATAGCCCTGGACAGGTGTGTGTGTGTGTGTGTGTGTGTGTATAATCCATTTTAAACTGCAGCATCTGATGTCCCACACACAGATCTTTACGACTCTCCACCACAGCACTGAAATCTAAATGAGAGTGTGTAGCTTAAGGCTACGTAGGCGCCTTAGAGGATCCCTCACACTGCTGGTGTAATAAACAGTAGCCGACACCTTATTGAATATAAAGGCTTTTTTCACTCCTCACAGTTCTCACCAAGAGTAAGAGTCTGCAGCCGTGAGAAGAGTCTCTGTGAGGCTGAACATACACAGAGATACCTTGAGATAAAAACATCGGCACGTTAACATACACGATGCAATCATGCAGATGTTTTAACAGTTCATTTAGCATCCTAAGTTCACCTGACACGTACCATAAAGTCTTAGTCCTCACTGCTGCGGCTCAGGTTTGAATCCAACCTGTGGCCCTTTGCTGCATGTTTAACATCTACATATGATATAAAGTGTGATATACTACTGGACACAGTGCTGTTTGTGTTCGTAGATACATGGCTATCATCCACCCCCTGCAGCAGAGGTTGTCTTCTACAGAGACCCGTGTGGTGATCGCTGTGATCTGGATGCTGGCTCTGCTTCTCGCCTTCCCTCAGTACTACTACTCGTCTACAGCCCTGCTGCCTGGACGCACGGTCTGCTACATCGACTGGCCCGACTACACCAGTGTGGACTGCAAGAAGATGTGAGTGTAAACATGAACACACAGACAAGTGACATGACTTTATAAATAAACTCACCTTTCAGTTACTCGTTGAGCTGAACCTGGCGACGCTTCAGCGCACTGTCTGGTTCTGGCTGCTCGTTCATCTCACTGAGGGTCAAACCCTTAAAAATGCAGTTATTTTGGGAGTCGTTACTTCAACTATTTGATGCCCAGAATGTCAGAACTGGTCTAATCTTATTATTTCATGCTTGTTCCACTTCATATACCCAGCAGCATCACACCCTTGTGGTTAATTAGGTTAGCTCAGGATTCCTGCTGCACCACGTCTGAACCAGAGCAATAATCCTTCCCCTCTGAGGTGCATTTAGAAGAAAGAAAATATAGACCCTGCAGCTGAAATGATCCTGTCCAGGTGACGAATCTGTCTGAGGTGGGTCCTCGTGTCTGGTCGAGTCCATCAGGAAATATCTGTGGAGCTAAAAGAGGAAAAAAGGGCATTTGATAAATTTGCTTCCAAAATTAGCATCTTATCATCATCCCTGCTGCCTCAGTCACACACCTTCCAGACCCTCCGTCAAGGTTGGAAAAAGGTGCAAAATAAAGTTCTTACTTATTATTTTTCCTAATTTTTCATGTTTCCTGTAGATACTATGTGTGTGTGACACTGCTGATCTACTTCCTGCCGCTTTGCATCATGGGATGTGCGTACACGACTGTGGGCATCACCCTCTGGGCGAGCGAGATTCCCGGAGACTCGTCTGAACACTACAAAGAGCAGCTCATTGCCAAACGCAAGGTGACGCAAACACACACAAACTACCGCCACGTCTGTTTCAGCCTCCGCGGCCGAGCGCCGTCACCGAGACACTATCATGTAATTTGATGGCTTTTTAATCCCCCGCATGAAAACAAAAAATAAACAGATTATTTTAAACCCACCCTGCGCCCCTGTGACTTCCTGTGGCAGGTGGTGAAGATGATGATCGTGGTGGTGTGTACGTTCGCTGTCTGCTGGCTGCCCTATCACATCTACTTCCTGCTGCACCAGTTCTTCCCCGATCTGTTCGAGCAGCGCTACATCCAGCAGGTCTACCTGGCCGTCATGTGGCTGGCCATGAGCTCCACCATGTACAACCCCATCATCTACTACTGCCTCAACAGCAGGTGAGAAGTCTGCTCGAGTAGTTTCCTGTCAGAAATGGCCAGCTTCCTGTCCTGTGTGGTTGTCTGGGAGTCGTGTAGGCGATTTTGCTCACGTGGCAGGTAATCTGTATTTGTGTCTATAATCCCGTCTGCTTGTTTAATCCACCCTGTTATGAAATGTTTGTCTCCCACTCTGCAGGTTCAGAGCGGGTTTCCAGCAGGCGTTCTGTTGGTGTGCCCCCACCGTCGCCAAGGAGGAGCTGGAGCTCAAATCACCACGTTACCTGCAAACACAGGTGTGTTCCAACGGCGTCTGTGACTCAGTGCAAGCTCTCATTCAACATTTCTTTCATCAGTCGTTCAGACCAAATGAAGCGAGTTCCTGAGGTTTACTTTCCAGCCTCACTACAGCAGCTGCTGTAGTGAGCTCTGTCAGCACACAAAGGACTACAGTTCCCATTTCATCACGTAACGCTCCACCAGAAATTCATTTTCAACTCAAAGAAAAATAATTTGGAAGTAGTTTCAGAAGTAGGGGAGGTGGTGGTGCTGCAGCTATTTCTAGGCTAAGGCTGGATTCTTAGTTATTAGCATATTTACAAATGTCAAGTCTACAAACATTAGCATGCCCAGCTAACTAGCTTACTAGCTAAACTACTAATGCTAACGTGGCATTGCTTCCAAAGCCAAGGAGTATTTTGTTAGCTAACTAACTACATTTTGTGAGGGTGCTCTTGACGCAGCACTGTAGCAGCTAATGTTAGCATCTCTGTTCTGATGTGTATTGGATTTGGGTGGCGTTCACGCTCCTGCAACCTTAGCCAGTGCTACCTGAGATAGCGTTGTGTGCACCTCATGCGTGTGAAAATATGAACCATAAATAAGTATATAAGAAAATAAGGGTGCTCAAAGGATTGTTTTGTGAATCTATCTATAACTTATCATCTGTTTTCAGGCGAGCATGTACAAAGCCAGTCGGGTGGAGACGGTCGTTTCCACCGCCGCACCATCCTGTAATGGAGCAAAAGAGGGCAAAGCTGCCGTCCTGGGCCCCTCACATCCCGAACCACTCGGAGGTGACGTCCAACAGCTCAGGCTCTGAGACGTTTACCGAGAGCCCTCCTCACAGTAGACCAAACACCATCAGGAGTGTCATACTGCGGTGTGGAAATACAGTGCCTACACGTGGAAACCTGGCAGTGGCGAGGTGCAAAGACATCTCCACTCCTGTACACATCACGTCCAGCAGCTAGCCGAGATATTTTGTTCTGACCGCCTTGCCAAGTGCATCAAAACCCAGAGGATGTCATGAGATGCTCGACACCACAGACGTGAACGTCAGAGGCCTGATAGAAGCGGCAGAAACACTGCAGCAGACCTCGCGCTGCTACGTACCATCGTCCAGCATGAGCGTGGCGCCGACACTTGACCTCCCAGCATTCTCGGGGCTGGTTTTGGAAAGCGCGGCCCTCGGCTTCCCTTGGCAACAGTGTCACGTCCAGTTGACATCGTGACGCTGTGTTTGTGTTGTGTGGAAATAGGGAGGCATCCTCAGAGAGTGTGTGTGTGTGTGTGTGTGTGTGTGTGTGTGGAGGGGGGATGTAGCACCTGTTGGACAGGATTAGCCCCGTGTTTTGACAATGTGTGGAGCAGGGTTCACTCTGCAGCAGCCAGGTCACAGGCCAGCTAAATATAGAGGACGGGACGCGGGCAGGGAAGACACATATAGAAGGACTCATGAAGTGGTGGAGGAAAGAAAAGGATAGGAAAACATGAGCAGCTTCACCCATCTCTCTGTTTACAGACTAAGGACTTGTGGGGTGGGGGGGTGGGGGGGGTTCGTCACTGGGGAGGAATGATGCTATTTCAGCCTCGCAGACAACAGCTGCACAGATCCAGTCAAAGAATGTCCACATAAAGTTTACTGGACGGTTTTACCTGGTCAACTGCTCTGTCTCATTATGCAAGAAGAACTGAACGTGTGGGGACCAAATGTTTTGATGTAAAAGGACTTCCTGTCATGTATTGGTTCAGTGTAATAACAGATGGTGTAAAATTGGTCAGTACTATTGACTGTATGCGTTTCAATGAGGAAGAACTTCACTTCCTGTTCACACTGGAAATGGGAATGTTCTGCGTTGTGTTGATTGACATCAGCTGTAAGGGACAAATCAGTCCCAAAGAATCAATGCTACAGATTCAAGTGTCTTTACTTGCATCAATAGGAACCTGCCCATATGGAAATGTAATATATGACATGTATGCCCCTACACCAAGAGTGATATACATACATGTATACATCCTCTGGATATGTGAAGATATACGTTTATAACATACATGAAACACTCATAGTAAAATTTGTATATGTACATTTATTTAAAATATCTATATGGCGATTTTTTTATATGATATAACATGATGCAACCATATATGTTAACAATACACAGTATAATTTGATTTATTAAATGAAACGTCATCATCTTGTGTTGGGGGGGGGCAGAAATCAATTAAAAAAAATTTTAAAAGCATTTGAAGATTTATGATGATTAAAAAAAAAAATGTTATTAAACTGTAATTTTGAGTGTTTGTATGAAGTCGTTTAAACCTGCATGAACTGAGTGGATTTTCGGCCACTTGGGGGCAGCAGAGCCCAGACAGAAAACATGTCGACACAACACTGAAGCAGAACTAAATGAATGAACATGATTTATTTAACTTTTTTATGCGTTTATTTTTTTGTTTTCACGACTTCCCTCGACTGAACGTGTTTTCTTATTGTTGTATGTTTGACTTTGACTTTGCACAGTGAGTGAAAGTTTGACTCTCATTCATCTGCCCGAAATAAAAGAGGAGAAATGATCATTTAATCAAAGGTGATTATTCAGTCCTTGTGTCTGACAACACAGAGCCAGGGAAAGTGTCTGTATGGGTGGATTACTGAATGGGTTTATTGTTACAGAGAAAACCAAACAGGAAGGCTAAATGAAACAACCACAGAGACACACTGAGTAAAAATAGACACAACAACCACAGAGACACTTGAAATAAGTAAAGATAGATGTAAAAAGGCTGCAAAGACTAATGACTACAAAGGGACAAAAAGTCTCTTTCAGAGGGATGGGGGGGGGGGGCTTTTACATGTTTTGCCCAGGGGCCCGATGTCCCCTAATCTGTTCATGATCCTTACACACAATATTATATTTGATGAATAATGAAGTCTTTCTGTTTTTCTCTGATATTTTCAACATTTTCTGCAACTTAACTGTGACGAACAGAAACGGAGCCTGAAAACTAAATGTGACGGCGCGTCAGAGCGAACACGACACTGACTGAGACAACACCAGCTGATAGATCATGGCACATTATAATAAAGGTTTCTGCACATATAAGGACATTTGATTTAATTTAATATAGAACCTAGATCTGCTTTATAACGAAACAACACATGGACATCTACCTTTAGACTAGACCCTAAAACAACGTCCAGGCTACCTGTTCATCGCTCTGACCTGTTTTCTTCTTCCTGTAAATCACTTTATAAATAAAGTTTCTTTGTTTTCTAGTTTGCTTCATGAGCCAATCTTACAAATTTATAGATCTCAGATTGACTGACAGTAAATGTAAAGACATATCTAATGTTTCCTTGAACTGCTGAACCACAGCGCAGAATATGATTTGATTTCCTGAAGCTGTTTTGTGGGAGCGGAGGGGAAACAGGCTCGGACATCCTCAGTGTAAACTCAGCCGTGTGGTGCCAGTTATTTTCCTCTGTGCTCTTCAGCTCCACGGACGATCTTCATCCTTTCATTGTTTGGAAAAGAGAAAAAGACAAGATGCTGCTTCACCGTGTGTTCAGCTCCACCTGGCTTTTCAGTCCTGAACTGCCCACACAGACATGTAATGTATGACATATATGTCCCTATATCAAGAGTGATGTTGCCATATATGTCTCCTATATATATATATATATATATATATGTATATGTATATGTTATTATCACATATATACATCCTCTGGATATATGAATATATGAAGTGTGTATATGAAAAAATCTATGTGATGAATTTTTACATTGAATCCATCTGTTTTCTATGTAAAAATTATGTTAACATTATATATTTGATTTATTCATGCAAGTTTATTAAAACAAAGTACATTTTTAAAAAAATCTGTAAGTTTTTCTTATTAATTTCTCATTAATTTTAAACATGTTTAACTTCAGATTCTGGGAAAAAGGTCTCAAACTTTTGGACTTTACTGTTTATAATCTCAACATATACTGACAGACTGGGTATTTCTACAATATAAGCATATGTACATAAATGTATATATTTGTAAAGGCTAGATATATTCGTATGTCAGTATATGAAACTGGTCCAATTTCTAATGGGTTTCATATGTAATTTTCACATTTATATTTCATATATGGAAATTCAACATATGTATATATATTACATTTGTGTATGAGTGCAGAGGTTAAACAGAATGAATGAGCAAACACACATTAAAGGAAGAGTGAAAAAACTCCTACAGGTGATGGGATGTCCCTGAACACAGCATCTACTTAACTCCCACATGCAAAGCTCATTCATCTTCACGGCGACACCTGAGGGTGACAGCTGTTAGATTCTCTTCTCAGATAAAATGCCAAAACAGAGTTTCTCACTGATGCTGACAACACTGCAGGGCGTCTGTGTTGTTGTGCATTTAAATTACAATAACATCAAACCCACATGAGGCGTTTGAGGTCTGAAGGAATGAAGATCGCTGCAGATCTCCTGAAGGCGGTTAAGCAGTGACGTTGTGAAATCAACACAAAGGCACGAAAACTGAGACCAGAGCAGTTTTAGTCGAGTCTCAAACCACCTGATGCAGTTTATCACGACGCTTCTCCTTTCACTTTTCCTGCAGAAGCTGCCTCAGATTCAGACTTTACTTTACTTTACTTTACTTTACTTTACTGACCTTATAAGAGACTTTAAAGCTCAAATGTGTGATTTTGAATGTGGGTTTTAAACGTTAGTGATGTCTTATGGCTTTGCTGAGGGAGTTACTTAAGGGTGTTGCACAGAATCGCTTAAAGGGTTTCCTTAGTCGAGGAAAAAGTTAAGAAATTTACAGCGGTGAAAGAAATTTACAGCAGTGAAAGAGATTTTACAGCGGTAAAATTCTACTGTTTCCATGGAGACTGTTGATTTTCTGCCATTAGCGCTTGTGATAACTGTTATCCTCGTGTTTTTTTATCCGAATCTTTGCAACTATGGTAGCGAAGGTCTTTTGTGCAACAACTAAACTGTAACTTTAAGTGATTAGTGAGAGGATGAGCACCAGCCAGAGAGGTTTTGCTATCTGGAAACTCAAATATTGTTCTCACTAACATCTTATAACTGATATAAAGCTTTAGTAAATTATTTCTTAAACATGATTCCACTGCCTTAGAAACTCTGTTCATTGAAAACGTGTCCAAATCTCTGAGAAAATTAACGAAACAAGGACGTCTAGTTAAAGCTCCTCCAGTGTAAAGGTCTGTGTCCATGTGTAGTGTGATTATAGATCAGCTCTAGCTTCTATATTAATACTGTGAAAGTATCAAAGCCTCAGTCCACAGAGAAATGCACACAGCCTGTATTCAGAAACTGAGCCTTAAAACCAGCCGTCAGGACTTCTGGAACTTTGTGATGTCACAACAAAGCAGTCACCAAGCCCCGCCCACCTGGACCCACCATCCAAACCTTGCAGGATTTGGTTTCTCTGAGTGTTTTTACCTGAAATCTGCTATATTTTTATTGGATCACTCAGAAAACAGTCAGCCAATCAGAAGAGAGGCTCAGAGCCTCCTCTCTTCTGATTGGCTCACCGACCTGTTGTAACTAGAGCTCCAGAGAGAAGCCTGAGAGAGGAGATGTAAAACTACACAAATATATCTTCTTATGGATCAACACTTCAAAATAAAACACAGAAAAAGAAGAAAATATGGAGCTTTAAAACAAGAAATTCAAATATTAAAACACAAAATCATTTAACAAACCTTATTGAACGTATTTGTCTTGTTAAAAAATGTGTGGTTCAATATCAAATATATAACAAGCTCAGAGGCAACATGCAGACAGACTTTGACTTACGACCCTGGTGCGTTTTTTGCTGAGAAGAACTGAAGTAATTATCACTGAAGATAAAGGCTGTTACAGATAACGAGGTCAAATTCCTCTGCTCTCTCACACACACACACACACACACACACACACACACACATACACACACACACACACACACACACACACCCAGGGAGACAGGTGACAGGTGAAAGTGTGTGGGTAACGTGACCTCACTGGAACTGAAGCCTGACAGTAACCTGTGACACTGACTGATCAGTGCAGACGTATTTAATGTGGGAAAAAGTTTAGCTGCATCTTTTCAGAGAGATATCAAAGTGTTCGTGGTTGGATTTTGTTCTTATACTTCCTCACAAAGCGTCCACAGTTTAATGTGATGTGTAAAATGAGTTCAGAGTCAACGGGGTCGAGCTGTAAAACCGGTGTGATGAGTCAGTATCCACCGTCGGAGAGCTCCTGCTGCATGTTGACTGTGTGCACGGAGAGCCTCCTGTTATCCACAGCATGATAACCTGACGTCTGTAATCCAAGGTGATGTCTTCCTGTTCTGTCTGAGCAGCCATGCAAAACCCAAAGAGTCCTTTTACAACTAGGCCGGCACCAAGGCCACACGGTCCTCCACGCTTCAGTCTGGTTCCTATAATAGAAGAACACAAAGGGAAAAGGAAGTAGTCTGCGTCCCAACTGCTTTTACATGTTGAAAGAAATACTGATGTAATGATTCCTAAATGCTGCCGCTGCTATGTGCACTGTAACTCGCTGTTAATGATCTTTTCTCCTTTATTTTTTATTCAGCACTGACACATTTTTATTTTTTGTCAATTTCCATTTATTATTTGTAATCATTTATTTATTTATTTAGTGTGTTTCCTCTCCTTTCCTTTCTTGGATAACGTTCAAATTCCAAAGACAATCCTGCGAATATCATTTTATAATCCTTTCTTACTATGAAAAAGAGTTTTACAGTTTATAACTTTCTTTGGCTCGATAAAACATATTTGAAAATAATAAGTACAGCTTATGTATGTGTACTGTAATGTGGATCTGGATTATTACAAACTCGTAGATCTCTGTCTGATTTGTTACATCAACATCCAAATATTATTTCCTGAGAAAATGATGAAAACGTGTTAAAGGGAAAAGTGTTAAAAACAATTCAGGGATCTGCACCACAACTCACTGGGTTCGTCCCTGGACCACGTCTCATCCTTCCAGCAAGTTCGTTGGAAATCGGTTCAGTATTTTTTACGTAATCCTTCTGATAAACAAACAGACACGGGTGAAAACTTAACCTTCTCGGCGGAGGTAATGATATAACAGGACTCGGTCTGAGCCAGTGGATCTGAGGCTGTAATCAGCAGCAGGTGCTTTGAGCTCTGACAGTCAGGAGGTAGAAAACATGGAGTCTTATGTAGTTGGGCATTAAAATATCATCCTGCTGGTGGTTTTGATCTTTTCCCTCCCACTGAAAGAGGGAATTAAAATGTGGGAACGAGCGAGTCACTGAGTCCCGTTTAAAAGATCTTCAGACAAGTTCTGAAAACAATCTGCTTTCCTGTCTGATATAGAGTTTCAACATCGTTCTCCCTCTTTCAGAAATCCAGAATCTATAAATATGCAAATGAGTTGGACAGGAACTTCCTGTGTTTTATTTTGAAGTGTTGATCCATAAGAAGATATATTTGTGGTTTTAAGAACCAAAAACCATCTCAGTGTAGTTTTACATCTCCTCTCTCAGGCTTCTCTCTGGAGCTCTAGTTACAACAGGTCGGTGAGCCAATCAGAAGAGAGGAGGCTCTGAGCCTCTCTTCTGATTGGCTGACTGTTTTCTGAGTGATCCAATAAAAATATAGCAGATTTCAGGTAAAAACACTCAGAGAAACCAAATCCTGTAAAGGTTTGGATGGTGGGTCCAGGTGGGCGGGGCTTGGTGACTGCTTTGTTGTGACATCATAAAGTTCCAGAAGTCCTGACGGCCCGTTTTAAGGCTCAGTTTCTGAATACAGGCTGTGTGCATTTCTCTGTGGACTCTGTCCCTGAAGCTCAACAGTGAGAAAAAACATGTTCTTGTTTTTTTTTTTTTACAAACAGATTCAGAGAAAATCAAATTCAATCATTTAATGTGTGTCAGAGTCACCGACAGCAAGTTTCAGTCAGACATCATGTCAAATTAAAGTCACTGCTTCTAAGAGGAATCTGGACACTGACACTCAAGGTCTCTGAGAACTCGACTGAATTCACATTCTCAGACTCGTCATTCTTATTTTATATATATTTCACAAAGATCCTGTCACAGTGAGACACCGTCACACAACACTGATGATTAGAATCTCAAATGGCACATTTAATTACCTCAAACTTTCTCTTAATTCATTCACTTTTTCTATATTCATAATAAGGAGGCGTCATTAACATCAACATTCACACCTTTACAGAGGACAGTAGTTTCACAAACAGGAGTCGCTGATTGTCAGAGGAGTGTTTCTCCGCTACAACACATACTAATTTGTGATCCTTGAAATCCAAGGAGCTGCAGGTCGAAGTAGACGGCGAGAAGTTTCCCTCTTCATGAAGGCACATCGGTAAAATACTGTACAGAGTCAGTCAGTCGTTAAGACAGAGACGGAGCTGTTCTGCCTGTTCGTTCCCTTGTTGTTAATGCAGAAACATTTCCATGGTAACTGTCGACTGTTGCTCCCGACGACGAGATCGAACTGTCGCATGTAACTGGAAATACAGTTTTTCTTTTTCTTCTTTTTTGTTTGGTAGTGGTTTGTACAAAAAGTGTTTTTCAGCGTCTTCACTCGCTCTGCCTCAGAGAGACACACAGTCTCAACCCGACAGCCTCGACACAAACACAGTGACAGTGAACACGTCTGAGGCCGAGGGTTTCATCAACTTTACAGTCAAGTACAAAAAACAAAAAAACAAAAACAACAACATGGCGTCGCTGCTGCACAAGTCTCATTAGTGTATTCAGAGCAGAGCGGCTTGTGGCAGCGCTTCAGTTCAAGATACTGGAATGATGTCGGTCGTCACGACAACCGTGGTGTGTGTGTGTGTGTGTGTGAATTTATTTCATCTTGCAGTAGAGGGTCTCTCTCTTCGGTCGTAGTGCTTGGGGTTGATGGGGAGCCACCTCCACGTTTATTAATCTGTCGGGAGCAGAAGGAAGAGGCTGTTAGGAAGTGAAGTGTCATCAGGACAAACTGCAGCTGAGCGCTGTCAGACAGAGACCCAATCCCAACAAGTGCTGAACCCTCACAGATTTAGGCTCCGTCCACACTACTACATTTTTCTTTCAAAGTTCATCTCTTTGTGCTTCAAGCGCCAAAAAGTGAGACTCTTGAAAACTCTGTGGTTGTGTTTTATTTTGAAAACTCTGGGGTTGTGTTTTATTTTGAAAACTCTGGGGTGGTGTTGTATCTGGACGGACAGAAACTGAGACGTTTAGAAACGATGAGGTCACACTCATGGTCTCTCCTGATTGGCTGTCATCAGCCTGGACTACCAGTGGTGATACAACATGAGAATGAATGACAGAGTTACTGACCTTCTTGTCTTTGCAGCTGTTGTTCACTTACACTCTCTGTTTTAACGCTACAACTGTCTTTGCTGTTCCTCCTTCAGAGGAGACAATCTACTTCCTGTTTACACCGGCTCGCACATGCTCAGTGTACGTGATTGGTCATGTACGTCTGTGTTTTCAGGACGAACATCGTTTTTGTTTGAAAACACAGTTTCAAAATGAAAACGTCGTCGTGTGGACGCAGCCCCAGAGTTTTCTAAATAAAACGAGTCCAGCAGACGGGAGGAGGGAAACGCAGCAAAAGAGACAAGTTTTAAAACAAAGACGTAGTAGTGTGGAACGTATCGTGAGGCCCGAGTCCTGAACCCTCAGTCTTCATCGATCGAGTGCGAGAGGCTGCGACGGCAACAAGTCAGACAGTGCGTCCGATCCCGTTTCTTTTTTCTGAACTCTGACCTCCATCTTCAGTTACCGCCTCTAAACACGGATAAACTCACTTATTTTGCTTTTCAGTTCACTCACACTCACACACTCACTCACACACACACACACACACACACACACACGTCACACATGTAGAGGTTTTCAGGATGGGCGTGTTTCTGTGAGAGGGAAAGAGCAAGAGGACCCGGCGTCTTAAAACAATTATGTGACAATTTATACACGATATTGTCATTTTCTACTTCCCACGTGGAACAAGCCGCTCCGTTTGTAAAGAAACTAATAATCAGATGTGGTGAAAGCAGATTTTGTCAGTCTGTGAGGGTGGACACCGAGACTCGCCCTAAGACTAACAATAAATCACAAATGCACACAATGAGACATCAGACATGAAGCAGAACTGATGCCCTCACAGAACAGATTATTTTACTTCATGTTCTGACCTGTATTATAATGACACACCATTCTAAAATCTTATTTCTAACTATATTAAACAGCAGCAATACTGTACTTACAGTGCCACTCACTGGTATCAGCATTTAAACAACAAGTCTGGTTCTTATTATGAATGAAATCACATTTAAAGACCAAAACCTTCCAAGAATTGATCCCTAATAACAAGTAAGACTCTGACACACCTGACGACAACATTTCCTCTCGTTCGTTTGGTAAAAACTACATCGATCAGCTGTTTTAAGACTGGAAATGAAACTATATGTTGGTGAGTTTTTAAATGATTCATGTCTTCAGTAGAAACCAGCGAGCTCAGCTCTGAGAGCCACAGACAGACGGACTAACACGCTGTCGATTTGAGTCATTATCAGTTAATGGATGTCGTATAAACCCAATCACCTCTGAGCGAGGGGGGAAACATAACGAGGCGTTCTTCCAGTCCGTTACACTCCCACACATACACACACTGTAGATGTCCATATGCAAAATACATTAAAGAAAAGAAACGCCCCTGTAATCATGTCCTGTGAGTTTGGACGCTCCAGCGAGGACGACCGGTGTGTGAATGTTTAAAAAAAAAAAAGGCAACTGGTCGGAAAAACAGGAAAACTGAACAGAGACGTAACAACAGTGAGAGGATGGTGAATCTGAGCTGCTTGATCAGGACAGGACTTGGCTTTAGATAAAGTTCATAGTGACCTTGGTGAGCAGGTGGGAGACAGGACTCTGTTATTACCCATAAACCAACGGAAAATTTGCCTCAGTTTGTTTGGATTTGTTGTAGGATTTTCTGCTCTGGTCCGACTCAGGTGGTGAGTTTGTAAACTTGTAGGTTCGGTTCGTTTTCACACAGAGAAAAAAAAATCAAGTGAACCCAAAATGCATCATTACAAACCAGGTGAGACCGTTCCCTCCTCTGATTGGTCAGATTGTCTGGCGGGACGGGTTGCAGGTTGCAGGAACTCAAAGCTCAAACTTGTGAGTTCACCTGCTCGGGACCGGACCGAGGCCGCGTCCCACGAAGGGTCTCGGTGCGATTGTTTTGATCCGGTTACTGTTTTCACACCCGCTCAGATGCGTGTGAGCTCGTCCACCCACAGGCACATATCAGATGTTTGACTGATCACTGGTTAAACTGGTTCTGGCTTCACTCTGCGCACGTATTCACGACATATTCGACATGCAGACAGCCAGTGGCTGCAGGCAGGACTGTGCAGGAACTTTTCCAATCTCAATAAAGAGACAGAAGCCAAATTTACTTCTTGTGTTTGCCAATGGAAACAAACCAAATCCTGTTTCATTTGGAGCATCTGTCCAATTTTATGTCAGTGACAATCCTTTTTTTTGTTTTCCCAAATGTAAAAATGTTTTGAGTCATTATAAAAGTTTCACAGTTTAGAGAAACTTATAGACTTTCTCTGTTATTTAAGTTTTCTCCGTCTCTTTTCTGCCTGCACACTGTGACACTTCATAAAACCTCAGTCCAAATAACTGGTTTTACTCTTTTACAGAAAGCAGTGACGTGAGTGGTGAAGTCATGAAGCAGCCTTTAAATTAAAAACAGGAATAAAAACAAAAATGAAGGCTGATGATTTTAAGTTCTTGTCTCTGGGACCACGACATGTCTGCATCACAAATATCCCCGTGGTCATCTCCAGAGCTTCAGCACAAACCGGTACATTTAAACGTGTGTGTTATGCCCGAGTGTGTGAACCCACCTTAGTTACTCATGATGTGTTTCTCCTGTGTGTCATGGCCGTGCGAGCCTTTTACCGGCTCTTTATCGGAAGCCTAGAAGACGACCACACACTGTCTTACACGTCAGCCAATCAGAGAACACAGAGACAATCAGCTGCCGGTGCGATTGGAGGCGTTAACGCAGGAGAGACCGGCAGCATCGGGTTTTTATTTTAAACTGCGGACGTGCAGAGATGTGAGTTTTCATGCGGAGAGTCATTTTCTGGTGGCGATTCGTTCGACCATGCAGTTAATTATAAGGAGGTGCGATTGGTTAATTGTGTGTCATACAGTTAAAGGTGGAGGCGTTTGGTTCGTTTACCTCCACAGCTCTTTGAATTAACTGATTATCATGCAACAGAAAAGATAAGAGAAGCATCAACACATTCCTGAGGATAAAGATCTGCTCCATCATGGAGGCAGAGGCTTTTTCTTTCTATGATTCCCCAAAACAGAAGAGATGGACTAATTAGCTTTTACGCAGATTATCCCTTTGATGTAGCACAGACTGTTCGGCTAATTGGCTTCTATAAATTAGGTGATTAAAACAGTCAGACATAAGGTTCGGGTGATATCCAAGATGTAAAATCTCAGTCAAGGTTTGGAGTGAACTCGTTTCCACTGCGTTTGGAGTGAAGTCACTTGAGATCATTCTGAATCTGCATCAAATCACTCAGTGATGAAACGATGCATCACTGGATAAACAGCATCTTACTGATGCAGCTGGTCGACGTGCTAGTTTAGCTAGGAGCTAGTTTTAAATGTGAAACACTTCTGGTCCTACTGAAAACAAACATGTCCATGTAAGATGCAAAAACATAGTTAGAAATTTCATAAGGTTTACTTTTAGCTAACGATTATTTTCATTATCAATTAATCTCTCAGTTGTGATCAATTAATCACTTCAGCCACTAAAATGTCACAAAAAGTAAAAAGTAAAAAAAACAAAAAAACATTTCTCTCTCACATTTGAGGCTGAAACCAGCGAATCTTTACTTAAAAAGTCATTTTTGGTCGATCAAATAATCACTAGCTTTAGCTGAGAGGACGTCAAAGTAACTGCAAAACAAAATATATTAAAGAATGTAAAGGAAATAAATCAAATATATTCTTGCTGCACTGATCAGTCGATCATCAGCTGTATTCCACAGGTCCAGGTGATTTTGACAGAGTGAAATCAAGGATCAGATTTTGTTGCAGTAATTTGGATCAAGCTGATTGAAAACTGTTCGAGAACGTGGCGGTTTTACAAACCCCGGGATTCGCCACCACGGTGGAGGTCAGAGTGGCGTTTAAATGAGACCTCTGTGAACACAGAACATCCAGAACCAATATGAAAACCTGCCAGCGCTCTGAAAACTGAAAACCACTTCTCTGACATTTAAACCTCTGAACAAACAGCGGAGCATTAAAACAAAGAGCGCTGATACAGAGATGTCAACAGATCACCGGCTGGAAACACACACATGTACTCATTAACTCTGACTGCCTGCTTTATGGCATTATAAAACCAGTGTGTTTCATAACACACACACACACACACACACACACACACACACACACACACAGGCTGATGATGGTGATGTTGACATGTGCAGCACCTTTGATTCGTCTGAAGAAGAGTTTGACATTTTTCAGAAACACATATTTTCACTTTTTTGTCCAGAGATGAGAAGATGCTAAAATGTGAAGCTCGGAGGAGGAGAGTCTGTCGCACACTGACATTTCCAAGCTCCAAGTTTTTATGTGCAAACACCAAATATTGATCTGTTTCTTCTCATGTTTATTTATGCTTAGCGGAGCTTAACTAACACACACACACACACACACACACACACACACCCGTTTAACTCTTGGCAAGAAAGTGCAACATGTGCATTTCTGAAAATGTCAAACTGCTCCTTTAATGTTCTCTATGCAGCATCACAGACGACATGTTTTATATTTTTTATCTCAAGTTTCCTCAGAGACGTTCATATTTCATCTCATCTTAAAGAAGACTCGGTGTTGTTACAGAAAGTGTTGGTGTTGTACAGGTGTTATATAAACAGCAGAGGAGCGAGAGCGGCTGCGATGAGGTGCTTTAAGTGAAGGTTATAAAACTGCTAATGATCAATAACAGCATTTTATTGTCGATATTAAAGGATAACTGTGATAATATTCTATATTTTCCTTATTGTCAACAAATCCCACGTAATATATCTCACTACTAACAGGTACTGTGTGTTTATCAAAACCTGATATATCTTATTCCTCTCTACAGCACCAAATGTGGATTAATCCGCCACTGAAAATAGTCCCTAACAAATGCAGCTGTTTTAGGAAAATTACTGAGACATTCCAAAGATAAATTATGTATTTGTGAAGTGTTTTAATGATTCAAGTCTTCAGTAGGAAAGTGTTGGTTTTGGTCTTTCTGTGGGATCAGCAATGATATTTACTTATAGAGCCAAGTTGTAATAATCTAAAAATGAGGATTTAATACAAACTTTCATTTTAAGGAGAAGGATTAAGTTGAATGTTGAATCTTTACAGGACGATATCAGGCTAAAAAAAGTATTTACACAACATTAATAAACTGTAGAAGCTGAATTCTCTTTGCTCTTTGAACAAAAACGTAAATATGAATTTATTTGTTGCTCTAATTCACATTTTCTGTTTATGTTCTTTACATTTTAATTCTTAATTGTGAGACTTTTGGAAGCAAGTTCCACAACTAGATGAGTGATTATCTCTCTGACGTCTGATGATGGAGATACGTCGACGGTTTCCTGCACACGTGTTGAATGCACGATACAATTTGTTTCATTGACGAGTCTAAAGACTGAAAGTATTGATTAGCAAGTGTCCCTCTATAGTTCACTGTGGGAGGGGTGGGGTGGGGGGGGGCAGATTAGACCCATAAAATATGGGAGGTGTGAGTGAATGTCAGTCAGTGCGTCCTCACTCCCTCCTGCTCCTTTTAACGTCTGTTTTGTGGGAGAACATGCGCAGCTGTGCGACATGCTACATGCAGTTAAAGCTTCAGACTCTTCATGCTGTGTGGAAGCGTTACCTTCACTCTGTGACGCACCAGCGCGGCGATGACTATCGTTGCCAGGCCGAGCGCGATGAAGCCGTACTGCATGTACTCCATCACCGCAGGTAGAACGACCAGGTTGGTGTGGAAGGTGTTGACGATGGGGCCGTCGATATACCCGCTCTGAGGGGGGGGGGGGGGGGCAAAGACACAAAGGGCCCAACTGACTTTTAACTTCTTACTTTTAAAAAACACAAAATATTTAACAGCTGAGCAAAAACACATGCAGTTTCTTTTGTTTTGATGTTGCAGTGGGAATAAAAAGGTTTCCAGCGTCTCCGCAGCCTCCTGTACAATTTTGAAAGTGAACGTCGTCCCCATCACTCCATCAACGTTTATCCAACAATTATTGACACAAAATATTATCAACTAATCAATTATGGATCGTAGATTAAGCTAAACTGAAGTTGATTAAATAGTTAAAGCTTTTCCATCAGCGTTAATTCTTACTCATCAGCGCATCACGACAGGAGTGGCAGCCTGTTGTTTACTTTTTAACTCACAGTCTGCTCTAACTAACTACCCGTGTTTTTGTTAAATCTAAGTATCTAAATCGTACATGTTTCATTATTCATCTTATTTTAAGTATTGGTATTATCTTTTTGCAGTTTGTCTTTCTTTGTACTTTCCATTTAGCTGCTGTAATACTGCAGATTTCTCCACTGTGGGACTGATAAAGGAAATCTTATCTTTTCTGATCAATCATCCTGATCTTAAATCATACTCAGCTTTCTCAAACTGCAGTTTTGCTTTTGATAATTGACATATATTTGTATTTGTCTGACTGTTGGCACAGAAAATTTCAGAAATGATAATGAATTAAACTGACTAACTAACTAACACCACTATTTCTTTATGATGTAAATATCTATTGTAAATATAACAAGAAAGAAATATATCTATTAAATATCTCTGTGGTCGATACAGAACAGAAACTATGTTACATCATATTTAATAAATACAGTTAAACTTTTCAAAAGTCAAACACACTCCTTCAAAAGCTGCACATTTTCTTCCTGTTGCTTTTATAATCCTCTAATCCTGTTTTAACATTATAATTTGATAATTTTACACTATAATAGTGATTAAAGATCAATGATGAACATGCACTGTGCATGTTTGTGATGCTCTGTTGAAACCTTCCCTCTCACCCAGCTTGATGCAGATGTTTTCAGTTTGTTTTCTGTTTCCAAACTTATGAGCAGAACATTTTGTGTTTTTGCAAATTCTCGGTAAAACCGAGTCAAAGCCGCTGAGGAGACAGTTACACAGAACAGGGGAAATAGTGACGACTCGCTGGTGACACTGGGAACGGAGAGGCAGGAACCATTTCCTGCTCCAGACACATGCACATTAACAAAAACAAGTCACAAGTCGTCTGAGAAATGACAATAACATGCGACAGTGAACGTGACAGCTCACCTCCTCAAACCAGATCATGGGCATCACCACCTCCGAAATCTTTCCCGTTTCTCTGCAAGGACAAGAACACTTCAAACTCCAAGGCTACATAAGAAAAGCAGGAAACATTCACAAGCCTTTCATATGTCATAATGAACAGATATAAAAACACAATACATGACAACTGTTAATGTCATAATAATACTTCAGGGGATCATTTCCTTACGTAATTCCTGACACTCTCTTCATGTAGAGGTTGAGCTGCAGACGGATGGACACGTTCAGGGGGACACCTGTTTGCTGCAGACACACACACACAAACACACACACACACACACACACACACAAAACACACAAATCTCAAATGAGGAATAAAAACTGCTTTAATGTCCTCTTTGTAAATGAGTGACAATTATGCCTCAACTAGAGAATTGGAACATTAAATCTCCAGCCAACTGTTAAAAGAAATGTTCCCATATAACCAGACAAATGAAGGAAATCCTCATGTGTGAATGATTCTTTTGGGGTCCATCTTTCAGGGATGATTTTATAGGAATTATTCAGAGATGTAAGAGTGAAAACAATGCGTCTGTGCAAAATTTTCATCGCAACCCATCCGATAGTTGTTGAGATATTTCGGTCTGGACCGGCAGACCTTGTCTTTTGGATCCTGCAGGGATTTACTCAGGAGCATTAGTGAGGTCAGGCACTGATGCTGGACTCGGAGACGGTGTTGGACAGGGGTTAACGTGAGGTCTCTGAGCTCACCGCGTTGTTGTATAATGCAGCATTATGATCTAATTTGAGCTAAGGGGCCAGATCCAGAACATGAAGATTATACATTCCCCACATATACCCAGTTGGAAAGTCGTAGCCAAGAACTAATGCAGTTTAATCGATCTGGGATAAATCCAACCAACATTAAGTTTCAGTTTCAGAGATGTTAGATTCAGCTGTATGATCATTTTGGAGGATGTGGGCAAACTGTGCCGTGTTAGAGAATCGTTTCTGTCGTTCAGCCAGGCGTCCATGACGGAAATGATCTGGACAAAATAATAGAAACAAGATGGCAACGGTGGATCAGCTTCAATACCGCTCCTCAGAAACCTGTGGGTGACGTCACAGAGGCGACGTCCATCTTTATTTACAGTCTATGGATTCATCACAGGACTGTTGTATTAGACTGAATTAGATGTAGCTGGGTGTATCTACTGAAGCTCGTCTGGGTTGTTTGCATTTCTTTAAACCAATCACAGCCGTCTTGGTGCGCTCACACTCTGCAGGGGAACTTGTCGTGGTGGAACATTTGTACGTGAGGAGGTGAGCGAAGAGAAAAAAACAGGAAGGACGTGTGTCGACTGTGTGACGGTTGATCACCTTCAACAAAAGTGGAGGCTTTTGAAAACGGTAACAGGCCGGGGAAGCAGACAGTGGGAGGTTAATACCCACAATCCCACTGCAGGTTAACTGAGGAGAAACCTTCAGAGAAGCAGCCAGAGAACAAAACTGTCAATTATGAGAAAATCCACATTTTTAAAAAAGGAGTCAACAACAGTTTGAGACCAAAAGTCTGCGTCACGTGCGAGTTTGTCCAAGGCCATGTCCAGTTGCATCACACTGGCAGGTCCCTGTTACTCAGGCTTTTGTGTGTTTTTCTCTGGCAGAACAAACTGTGATGCAGCCCGGTCCAGACCCCCAGCTCGGACCCCGCGAAACCAAAGTCACTAATTACCCAGGGTGTGTTTTCTGCAGTTTGGCAGCGGAGGTTTAGATTCACCAAATGTCTCTGCTTTTCCTCAGACTGTCTCCTGGCGACCAAAATGTTTGTTTCAGCAGAGGATGGCTCCACTCTGACTCATGATTATCATCAAACCTAAAAAATTCATCCACTTCAGTTGCTCCGCCGTCTCCTATTTAATGTTGGATGACAATTGATTCTGGTATATTTGGCTCGGAAATCTTTCACAACCGTTCTCTTTCATGCCGTAACGTTTCCTCAGGCATTTGGCCCTTCAACTGCACAAATCCTGGACTCTCATGTTTGGTAACCTCCGGCGAGCGAGAGCCGGAAATCAACAGTTTACTGTACGAACCTGCAGGAAATGAAATGCCCCCCCCACCCACACACACACACACACACACACACACACACACACACACACACACACACACACAACATTTTCATCTTGTAGGAGATGGAAAATCCTCATAACTGCAGCACCAAAGTTTAACAAGTTGATCAGTTTATACTTGTGTCGAGCCTCTAGTCTAAAATAATAGTCTGCCATGTTGCTGGCTGGGGTTAAACAGTGTCTGTTGAACACTGGAAAAGTTTGATAAAGAACTAAAAACACTTAACACATACTAAAATCTACTTTTTAATGAACTAAAATGTATTTGATCTGCAAGATTTAATCTGATTTGTATATAAAACTGTATGTTCTTTATTTTATAAAGTACAAATCAGACTTATAGACGTGTTTCTGAGCTGATGGTAAATATTCTGCACTTATCTTACTCTTTTCTACCTTGATTCACAAAGCACTTCACAGTTTGCCTCTCACTCATTCACAGATTCACGCAGACATCCATCAGGAGCCACTTCACGTTCGGTGTCTCGCCCAAGGACATGCGGACGACCGGCAGCCACGGCTGCTCTATAATCACGACACGTACATCCCTGAGACGTCTTCACACAGAAAAAACACCAACCAGAGCCCGTCAGCGCCAGGTCGTAGCTACCACTGAGGTCCCCGAGGAGCGTGCTAACTCACCACAGGCTGTTGTTTTTCTAAATTAAAGTGATTTCTTTTTGTTGCCTAACAAACGTAATTGAAGTTCCCCTGCAGATAAAGATATGAGGCAGCTGGAAAACAGGCAAATAAAGTGAGTCTGTCAAAATATATCTGGGCCTGGATGCTGTGAGCGCACGGCAACGTCAGGCCTTCATGTGATAAACACAGTGTTTGCGCACTGTCCACAAATATGTAGGATGCATATATACAGTGCATCCTTTATGTAGGTCTGAGGATCTTTAGAGTCTTAGACAGAGAGAAGACACAGAGACAGAGGAAGATGATGATACAGTAGATGAGAGCTTTTAGTTTGAAAAACAGGAAACTGAAAAAAAAGGAAAAAGAGAGACGTGACCGTGGCCGTCTCTGGTCCTCTGCCCTGGCTCCCGCTGAGGTCTTAATGAGGAGATTAACATGAGGAGCTGATGGCAGCAGCAATAAAAATCAGAACGTCCAACATCCCCAAAAGGAAACCTCCCTGTTAATGTCAGCATCCAGTGATCTGGTCAGAGCTCCGGGTTTTAATTAAGTGGTGACAGGCTCCAGTTAAACCTACAATTGTTTCTGAAGAAGAGAAAAAAAAGGCAAACAGATGTTGAGAGTCTGTTCTCCTGAAGGACTGCGGCTGATAAATAACACGCTTTCACGACTTTTCTTTCTGCTCAGAGAATTTCTGCATTCATTTTTATATCCGACATATTTATATCTTACATCATTTATCTCGGTGTATTTTGATGTGAAGTTTTAGAAGCACATTTACATCTACAACAGTCATTTTAGTTGCTTTATTTTGACAGTGCAGAAATGATTCTTTTCACCCCGCTCCTGCACGTTCGCATCCTCGCTCGGTTTCTATTTCTGTGAAAAGCAGATTTTTTATCTGAAATCGCCATAAATCTGTTGAAATCGTCAGGTTTAGTTTGTGTGTCCCTTCAAATCCCTCTCTCTCGTTACCCATGTCCAATCAAACATCCTCTCTGCCCCGCCCCTTATGAAACTGCTCAGCAATTTGTTTGATTTGAAGCAGCTGTAAAGAATAAAGTCATTGTTTGGTTTTCTTTCTTAAAATGCCCCCATCCCGAGCTGAACACAAAAATCTTGGCGTCTTGTTTATGAATTTGACACGACTAAAAAAAAAAAAAATTCCTCCCAGTGCCCGGTTGCTTCACATGTGAATTCAGGGACTTTCAGTAGTTGCCCCGTGGTCGTTCGGAGGCCTGTTAAAAGCAGCGGGGGTAAAAGTTTTGGGTCGTGAAGTCAATATTCAAAATAGAAAAATGTTAATGCAAACACAGCATGGTGGTGATTTTCACTCTGATTCTTCTGTGAGGGACTTTCTTTTTTTTTTCCCGCTCTGTGAGTCCGTGAAGCAGATTTCAGCTGTGGACATGTGGCTCTGATAAAAAGTTAATATGGAGCTGCAGTCGGGAGGACAGGAAGACGACTGCAGCTGTCGGCAAACGGCAAGAGGCCGACGCGTGACTGACACGCTCGGCCTTTATCTTTTGATGGTACACTTGTTCTCTTCTATACCGTTGTCACTCTGCAGGACGCTGTTTTCACACCCTGCGGTGAACATTAACTGATGAAACGTTAACCCTCTGATGTCCACGGATGTTTGTATTAATATCTTTGCGACAGGAAAGCGCAGACAGATGGTTTAAATGTTGTTAGAATCTGAAGACTCTCCACTTTCTCTGACGTATGCTTGGAAAAACATCACACATCACTCACAGCCTCTGAAATGTGGTTAAAGTAGAGTGATAGTCAACACCACGACATCACCATATTACATATAAACTGGGCAAGATTTACAAAATTTTAAGCATTTATTATCCATCCATCTGCTATTTCACTCACTATCTTTAAGAAACTATAGAATAAACACATTTCAAGCCCCAAAACGATTCGTAAAGGTTTATTTTCTCTATCAGATCTCAAAAACCAGGCTTCAATTTTTTCAGCATTCGGGCCAAATTATGTCTCTGCACAGTTCTCCGCAACGAAAAGGAAATAAATTAGAAATAATGTAGAAATTGAGAAAATTCCCTCAAAAATAAACAGTTCCACATCAATAAAACTGGACTGTTAGAAAACAATTAGCTTCATAAAGGAGCAAGAAAGAGGAAAAACAAACTGAATGTTCCCTTCATACAACAGGATATTCACATTTAAACTGATGAATAAGCTCTTTAAGAGGCAGCGTTTCCTCTGTTTACAGACACAAACAGTCCATTGTAACTGTTGTCATTATATTGTTTACACACTATAAAACTTGTTTACTTTTGGAAGACCAATTTCATGATTGGGAATTTATTTGGAATAAACAAAAGGATTCAATATTAAAAAGGATAAACAACCTCCACATCCCATCCTGACAATAAGGGGCGCGTCTAACACCTGGAGCCTCGAGGCGAGTTTGGACGGCAGGATTGATCGCGCTCTACCTGAAGCGCCTGAGCTCGGCCGACCTTCAGGAGCGGTGAAGGGGAACGAAGAGAACAACAGTGGGCGAGACTCCATGTTCTGTTGGCTGAACTCAATTATAATAACAAATTTAATTTCTTACAGTAACATAACATCTGCACAATACCTGGAAGTAAAATGTGGCTCCTACAGTTAGAATAAGCAATAGCACTTTTATTTTGAAGGCCTGAAGTTATGCGTGAAATCCTGTTGGAGAGTTACTGACAACACTGGCGAGCATGGACATTGTATATGAGCCACTGGGAGTTTACGCTTGTCACAACAGACTTTAATGAGACGTGAACAGTTACAAGGAAGACTTATTACCTCTTTTTGTAGCTTTTTGTTTGTCTTTATTTAACTTTGGTAAAATGTCAGTCTAGTTTTCACGGTAGATTTGGCGAGAAGTCTCCAGATATATCAGAAGAAAGAAAAGCACTTGTGGCTGCCTGAGCTTCGAGTTACAGACCGCAGCTTCCTGTGACAGTCGCTGTGTCTGAGAGCCGAGCACCTGGAGGAACCGCGGGCCGGAGAGCAGCTACTGCGAATCTAACACGCCTTGTTTTTCACAAGATACTGGAGAATATTACGTTTATGAATATGATATAAAATGAGAGATTAACTCGTCTGTGCTCGACCAGATGACAGACTCGTGGCTTTAATGTTATCTATAGACGGCTGATGCGACCTGCTGCCGCCGTTTGTCTTTTTAAAAATCGGTAACAAATCACAAAACCTCCAGCCTGAGTGAATATTTAGAACGCAGCTCTTCGCTAACGATAACCAGAGGCCGAGTTTAGCAAGTCTACGTCTGAACTCTGAGAGCGGTGCTGCAGGTGACAGCGGAGCTCAGTAAAGACGGGATCAGATTTTACTGACTTTATTTCAGTCGACACCTTCACTAGAATCAGCTCCATGCATCTCTGGTAGTTCATGTCACTGTAAACTCGCCTTTTCTGGCAGTGAAACATTGTGAAAATTAATAAAACAATAAAAGAAAATTGACTGTGTGTAAGTTTTGCTGAACAGTGCCCACAAGAGTGAACTGTAAAATGTAGTTTTAGCGGTCTGTGTGCTAACGTTAGCCTCCATAAGCTACTGGTCGAACCAGACCAAGTCACACTGTTGAACTGAGCCACAGTGAATTTACTGCTTCGAAATTCTACGAATCAGAGCAGAGACGTCACACCCATGTCAAGATAACCGCATTAAATCCATCGCCAAGTGATTTCCTTTAATCTTTAACCTGATATCAATCTAGGCGTGCTGCATTCGAGCATTTCATGAGCTAAAAAAAACAAAAAGGTCGTTATCAAACCAGATTTTTATTGCAGCCATAGAAAGTTTCTAACAACCCTTGTCTCACAAACAACCGCAATTACGGAGAAATAGACCAATTTCCAATTAGCTTATCGACACTGCAGGTCACAGCCGACACCATATACTGCTGCTGAATGTTTACTCTGACAGGGTTGCATAATGACCTGAACCGTGGCAGTGTCACAGCAAAGTGACATGAGTAGTTTATCGGAACCATCATCATCATCATCATCATCATCATCAGTGCACTTTTACTGCGTTACTGTACAGCAATAAAATCCGTTGTCATCGAGTTCATTTTAATAAAAAAGGGACTTTTCCTGTGACAGTCATTAACTAAAACTCTTAATATGTAAATCACAGTATGAGTTGACGCTCAGACGTTGATGGTAAATATCAGGGAAACGCCGTCGACTCATCGTGTTTTTACTTTATTTTCTGTTGTATTTCTTGCATTCCTTCCACTGCAGATATCATGTTGTTTTCATCTTTTATTTTTATTTGATTATTTCCTTTTGTTTCCTAATTTCTTATGATTAAAATCTTTACGTATTGGTTCCAACATTAACCCCGGACGGGTGTGTTACCTCACCTGCGGCCCCCGGTTTAGATAAAACACTGTGATATAACGAGAGGATGTTAAGTAAGTGGCATTTACAGGATATCAGGTCATCAGATTGTTTTAGTGCGGCTGTTGTCGGCCTTGGTGTCCATCTTGACTGGACACTCACTGATTACATATCAAGGACTTACAAAACGTTTGTGTCGTGTTATCTTGGTGTAAACACAGACAGAACAATATCAGATCAAAGTGTAAGTGAAAGGTTGGGTCCCACCATTACGGAGAAATGTTATTAATTAATTCTTAACTGATTTTTATCAGGAACACCTTCCAGTCTATTACAACAGTCCTGCAGTAAATTCTCCCTCATGCAGGTTCGGTTTGTTTTTAAACTGTTGCAGAGAAGTGCTGATTCAACCGTGTGATCACGTTACAGGCTGCAGCCGGTCTTTGTTTTTTTTTTGTTTTTTTTAATTCTGGCATGAAGCTGCATCTTTACCAAAGACATTCAGGGACAAAATGTTGGAAAAAAAACAATTGGAAAGCTTCATATTTTGGATGTAGACTGTGAAAGAAATAACACGGAAAAAACTCAAACCAAAGTCTAAATTACATTTAAGGAGGAGGAAACTATTACAGAACACAAAAGAAGAGGAAAGACATGAGCCAGGACTTATGTAATATTTGTGAAGAACTGACGTGTGCGAGAGTTTAGGCATCGCCAGAAGTTTTTTTTTTTTTCGCGAGGCCTTGGAGAGTCGTGGGTGAGGGAGGTGTGGGGGGGGGGGGAGGCCAGCAGTCCTCCACAGTTCAGTGTATCTGATCAAACCAGTCCTCAGCAGCCTGTCAGATCTTCATCTTCACTCAAATATATGACGTTACAGACGATAAAAACACGTTAACCTCTTCAGACTTTTCGGTTTTTCCATACCTTGCGTTTTGGCTCATAAAGTCGTGATTTTTTTAAAAGTTTCACTGAGTGCTACACATGTTCAGAATCAGCACAGCCTCAGCTAATTATACTATATTATATATGTCTGACCCTAACCATCACTCAATAAAGACTTCTGTGCAGGATAATAAGGGTTAGTAACCCATAAAACAACAAATAACAGGTAAGTCCAAATCTTTTCTAATTTTTGATATTAGTTTATCGAACAAAGTCGGTGACTCTCGCGAACAAACGGAGGCTCGTTAGAAAGTGATAATTCTCTAGTTTAACATGGAGAAAACTTCACGTCACCAGCTCAAATAATTGCGGAGTTATGACGCTGTAAAGACAACGTGATACTGACTTAAAGTGCATCAGTAAAGGCTGCGGTTTCAATCTGTTCTCAAACTCAATCACTTCATATTAGTGTGTGTGTGTGTGTGTGTGTGTGTGTACTGACCGGGTGAATGTCGATGAAGAGGCCATGCTCTTCCTCGTTGGGACTGAGGCCCAGCACAGTGTCCAGGAGAACAGGATCAGCATTAAAGAAGTGAGGATGAGAGATGAAGACCGGAGAGTCTGTAAAATAGACACAGAATGAGACACAATAAAAATGAATGGAGGTTGTGTTAATGTTGATCCTCAAACTGGTGTTTTTGTGTCACAGATTCAAACACTAGAGCTACAGAGGGAACATTGATTGGTGCTGAAAGAACCGATTGATAAATCATTGAGTCCAACCCCAGAAAATATAATGTAAACATAATTCAAATCAATCATTTAAGTCCTAAATCAAACAGAAATACCTGATTGTAAGTTAAAAATCTTACATTTTATGGATAAACATCTTTGAGCAAAGCAATAGTCATCGATTAGGTCATTGATCTATTTGTCGTGAACACTCACTGTGGCGACAGCTGCTGACGTTCAGGATGCCGGACTGTCTGCAGGGGCAGAAACCTTCGTTGGGGGCGTACTCTGTCCCGTTGGCGAACAGGGTCTTGGGTGCGACGTATCGATACAGAGGGATCCCCTTCATCTCACCAGGACGCTGGTAAACCAGCTCCATAGATCTGAATGGAGAATGGAAAGTGGTCTTATAAGTTTGCAAAATGAAGTGTGAGAGAAAGAACTGCCAGAACAAAGTAAATGAAGTGTCTCACCTGCAGGCGTCAGGGCTGTAGAAAGGCAAAGTGGTCTCTTTAGTCATGAAGGGAGGCCACATCTGTCCAGCTGTTCCATTGATCATGTTAGACTGAGGCGTCCTCCAGTAGTTCAGCTGGTAACAGAGAGGACAGTCAGATGTGAATGGACAAACACACACACAGACAGGAGCAGCAAAGACCGACGGTGTCGTGTTGACGTCTCACCTCTGTCAGGCCGTTCCAGGAATCGACTTTATGAACCTTCCTGATGTCGTCCTGTCCGGTGAAGATGGTGAACAGACCGGTGTTGGAGTTGTTGAACTAAAAAGAGAAACGTGAACACAATTCTTTATCTGCATGAGCTTATTAATCACTGACTGAAACAGCAGATATTTGAAGAAGACTCAAAAAGTTCATTGTTTATGGTCGAAAAACAATTATTAAAATTGCCGCTGGTTATATTTCTATAGATTGACTGACTGATTTAAAGCTCCTCCAGTGTAAAGGTCTCTGTCCATGTGTAGTGTGATTATAGATCAGGTCTAGCTTCTATATTAATACTGTGAAAGTATCAAAGCCTCAGTCCACAGAGAAATGCACACAGCCTGTATTCAGAAACTGAGCCTTAAAACCAGCCGTCAGGACTTCTGGAACTTTGTGATGTCACAACAAAGCAGTCACCAAGCCCCGCCCACCTGGACCCACCATCCAAACCTTGCAGGATTTGGTTTCTCTGAGTGTTTTTACCTGAAATCTGCTTTATTTTTATTGGATCACTCAGAAAACAGTCAGCCAATCAGAAGAGAGGCTCATCTATTTTGCTCCTTGTCTCCCTGTCGTCATAAAACTCAACCGTGAGCGTAATTCTCTGTTTTTAAATACTCACGTCAGCAAAGAGGCCAAACTTTCCCGTCGAGGGCAGCGTGCCGGGCAGGTATTTGTTGAGGAACTCGACCAGTTTACTGTCGTAACCCCACATCAGCTCCTCCACGGTCTTGGTCAGGAAGGGCCCCTCCTTGAACGTCTTGAAGGTGGTGCTGATCATTAAACGCACGGCGAAAGGCAGGTTTTCCATCATCACCGCTGCACCCTGGGAAAAAAAGAAGAAGAAAAACACACAGGAGTGACAAAGCAGCAGTCAGCGGCGCTGAGGATGTGCGTTGAGCGAGAGGAGGCGACTTCTTACCAGCACCAACATGTTCGGGATGGTGATGATGTCGGACTCGTTCCCCGCAGACATGGACGGTTCGAAGTAGTATCTTCTGTATTCCTTGTATGACACCGTGTTGTTGGGATGAAATGTGATGTTGTCTTTCTGACACCGTTTCCTGTAAAAGAAAGACGTTGAGAGGAAAAGCTGTGGTTCAAGGTACACAGAACCCTAATAATGTGATAAAGTGATAAAGAGGCAGATAAGACGGACGAGAGAATAAACCATTTCACTAAATGCTGTAGTAGAACTGGGGCTGTGTTATCAAACCCAACCCCGCTGATAGCACACAGCTCTATCCTGTTTATTGATAAACTGCTTATCATCGGAGGGTCACGGGCTGGAGCCAATCCCAGCTGACATCGGGCGAGAGGTGAGGTACTCGACAGGTCGCCACGCTATAGAAACAAACAACCATTCACACCTACAGGCCAGATTAACCCACATGTCTTTGGATTGTGGGAGGAGAACATGCAAACTCCCCACAGAGAACCGTCTTCCTGTGAGGCAACAGCACTAACCACTGCCCCACCGTGACACCCTGATTCCTTTATCAGGTCGTCCCTGATTTAAAACACTTCTTTGAGGCAACATTTTACATTTGAGAACTTTTCGTTTATTTTGTTAAATTAGAAAATTATTTTTCGCGATATTGCAAATTGCGATTTTGATTATACTTCAGTTAATTGTGCAGCTGTAATGGGAACAACCCATAACTCACAGTGTCACTGTACCGTGTAAACTCCAACTGACCCGAACTGTCTTTCTGGACAACAGAAAGTTTTCATTCTGTCTGGTGCGTTTAACGGTTTGTTTTGCATCAGTAACAATCCAAACACAGCAGTTAATACTGGCCTGTGATTTCAATTACGATAACAATTCGTTAACAAAGCACAGGGCTGCAACTGACGATGATTTTAATTAGATTAATCTGGCGATTATTGGCTCACTAATCCGTTAATGCCGATTTCCTGAAGCCCGAAGTGATGTCAGATGATTGGGGTTTTTTCTTCTTTTAAATCAACAGTGGAAAACCTAAAAATATTCACTTTATTAATAAAAACAAAGAAGCTGAAACTGGAGCTGAAACAGTTTTGCTTGTAAACACTAACTTCACTGATTCAGTCAATTATCAAAATAAAAGCTTATCATTTTTCTGTCAGTTCATTTATTGATTAATTGACTAATTCTTTCAGCTGTAACAAAGAATTTAATCGATACAAACTCCTGAAACTCTTCTGCACGTTGTATTAAAGAGCCTTAAACAGCGAACTGGCTTTCAGTGTAGGATTTGAGTTATTATTTTGATTTGAGAGCTTCTACATTTCCAATGCTCTGTTCTAACAAGGGATCCCTGCTGTTTCTCATGCAGCTGTTTTGTGAGCACTTGATTAGGAACACCACAGTGAGAGCGAAGGGAGGAACGACCCAGTGTCAAACAGCCTCGGTTCTTTGTGTCTGGGATCCACCAGATGTTGGAAACTTTTCCCCTGAGGCTCTGCTCCACGTTGACACGATTACATCACATCACTTCTGCACATTTGTCAGCCGCACAGTCAAGCTGCCAACCTGCCACATCCCAGAGGTGGTCTGGCTGGACTCAGGTCTGGAGACCGGAGATCGGTTGTTTCAGAAACACGCAAACCCGCCTTCGTGTGTCACTGAGATCACATCGTTTGAGCTTAACCTGAAGCCCCTGAGCTGTATCTGCTGCCACGTGATTGGCTGATTGCATGACGGTGCACAGGTGTTTCTAATAAAGTGTTCAATGAGTGTTTACACATTTGATTACTGATTTGTACTGCGTATTATTCAAATATTAACAATTACATATGGATGCAAACAAAACAACCGCTAGTAATAATAATAATAATAATAATAATAATGGCCCGGTGGTTGAGGAACGCTGCCTTAGAGCATGGGCTACTCAAATACAAGTCCAGGAAGAATGAAGTATGTACTTATAAACACTTTTTGATTAACGGTGGCACAGTGAGACCGTCGTTGTGTAACTGAGTGTTTAACCTGTTAGCAGACACCCAAATAACCTGAAATAATAAAGCTACAGTTTTTCACTCTTCGGTCTCCTTTGAAAGATAACCCCTCTAATTTTATAATCAAAAAGTCAGAGTGAGTGGAAGAGATACTGAACCAAAGTAACAGAGGCACAAACGTAGCAGAAATTCAAACGGTAATACACGTCCTGTCGTAGTTTTGTGTGGAGTCACAGTCGACAGCGATGTGAGAAAATGTTTTGCACAGACGGAAACTGGAGAACTAAAGTTGTAACCTTGGTGACTCAACAATAACCGTGATGGCTTCATGACAAATCATAACATACACTTCCAAAAAAAGTACAAATCAAATTCGATTATCACACTTGAAACAGCGTCAAGCATCTTCTATAAATGGCCTTCGATAAATCGCAAAAACACAAGTCTCCACATTGCAAAGCTCAGCTCGGCTCTGTTTGGCGTTGTGGAGTTCTCCCGCTCTTCAAAATAGCCACAGTTTGATTGTGAATTAAACAAACTGGTCTCATGCTTCCCCAAAATCAAAATGAACCCGTGTTTCTCAGTCTGCTCGTTCTTAATCATGATTTTCACAGTCGTCCTTTATTTCCATCGGCATCGACACAATTACACAACTGTCCTCACACGCTGAGAGGAGTCTGAACCTCTCGTGCAAAACTCTGTGGCGTGCACCTTTAAGTTTGTAATTGCTTTTTCCTTTAAACCCTCTGCAGCAGTAAGATGAGAACGACTGGACAAAGTGACAAAGGAGGCAAGAATCAGTTATGAAATCACTGTGCTCCTGCAAGAACCTTTTTCCCTCCACATCCATCTGAACTCTCACAAAACAAACAACAAACTAGGTCAACATATGCAGCTGAGGCATACGCTGAGTAATGCTCTCACACCAACATACTTCCCCCCTCTGTTGGTACATATATGGTGCAGTTATGCAACAGTGTTTGGGCTGCATCCCACCACGTTAATAAAGGAAAGTTTATTAGTTTGAATGCACACAGTGACCCACATACTGTGAGAGGGGCACACAGTGTTCCACAAAGCCGGCCAATCAGAGACAAATGTACAGATCGCTTCACCAGGGCAGGAGCCTATAGCCAGACAGGACCATGTTTTAATAGACACAATAAAAAACCCAACAGATGGTTCAGAAATTGGGTCAAAATATATTAAATATTTCTGAAAAATGATCCTATTTGACAAAGTGAGCAAAGCAGAGAGGACGACCTTCTTGCAACACATCTTCAGGTTGCAGGACAAAGTTTACTGATAGGGAAATACAATACAGCAAAAAAAAAAAAAGATTATGGTTCAGCATGTGCTCTCAGGGAGGTGTTGGATGTAGTTTATTTAAATGCTTACCTGTACACATAAGGTCCTCGCTGCTCCACCATGGGCTTCTCTCCCTTCAGGATCTCCTTGGGGTTGAGGACGTTGAAGAAGTAGACGGACATGTAGAAGGGCACGGGGATGTCCTTCCACATGGTGTAGGACACACTGTTCTTTGGGTCGATCACTGTGTTCTGTCATGAGCGGGATAAAGAAATATGGGAAGATGTATTAAGATTAAAGGGATGAAACCGCCATTTAATTTCATTATCAATTCACCTTCAAATTATAAACAATTTTTCCACAAAATGCCAGAAAATACGTCTTTAAGTTGCTCGATTCGTCCCATCAACAGTACAAAACACAAGATATTCAGTTCATTATCATTATTGTTGTTGTTGTTGTTGTTGTTGTTATCATTGTTATTAAAAAAGCTTTAAATCTTCATGTTTAAAAAGCTGGACAACACAAATTGGTTAAATGAATGAAACAATTAGAGGTAATTGATCAATGAATCATTTCAGCTCTGATATAATTGAATTTAAATGGGTACACATAAAAATTATTTTTACATTCATAAATAACTTAAAGATTCAACTGTTCTCCCACTGAGAGACCAGCGTCGGAACCAAACAAAGTCACATGTATTCTGTAACTAACATGCATAGATTACATTATCTTGTCATATAGGTTCACACTGTGTCCGTGACCTTTATTTTGATTTCCACACTGCACCTTTGCACTGTGGCACGCAGCAGAAGTCAAACTCTTTCATTCATCCTTTCCGTGCCTTTTAGAAAATCTGAATCTTTTTAGATGTAAACACCAGACTGACTGAGATAAGTGGATCTGTTGTACATGATATACAGATATCTATACTTTATTTAATCAGGAAGTCACATTAGGATCAAGATCTCATCTACAAGTGAGACCTGAGAACAGAAAAATTAAAATAAATGACAAAAAATAAATATTAATAGCACAAATACACATTTTCAGCGATTTAAATATACATTGAGATATGTATTCATACAAACAAGTGGACATGTGTTTATATAAACAGCGATCACTTAAATGCTTTTAAATATGCATTAAGACACACAACCAGGTAGACAATCAGATGATGACTAAAACTGATTCACTGATCATTTTGTGCGACTAACAGTCCAAAAACCTAAAACTATTCATCTTGCAGTTATATACAACAACACATGTTCGCAGTTTAGAAGCTGGAAACAGTAAATGATCAATCGATTAATCAACTAATACTCATGTGTAAAAGTTCTAGGGCTAATGTGACATTTTATTAACATTACAATAATAATACACATCATTTAATAGTACATTTTCAGTTAAGTGATGCTATGCAAAGATTTCAACATCTTTTTTTATAAGCAGGGGTGGACAGTAAGGAAGTACTTGAGTACTTTACTTAAGTATATTGTTCCAGTATCTGTACTTTACTTGAGTTTTTTTTGGAAACTTATAACTTTTACTCCACTACACTTAAAAGACAAATACTTTTGACTCCACTACATTTCTCTGAAGTACTCTTAATTTGAAGCAGAGCTTTTAGTCAGAGGAATTTATTTTATTTTATTTTGATAGAGAAAAACAAATCACAGTCAACTGCTCCACTGTCAGAATTTTTAAATAAAGATTCCTTTCGTTTGTTTTAAATGTTTTCTGTGTTTGAACACGACCAAGATCCATCACTACCTACAAAAATGTTTAACCCCAGATAAACAGCATGTAGTTAGCATCATTTTGTTGACTTAATTGTGTGTTTATATTTCTGTCAGCTTTGTATCATATTCTACAAGCTTTTTATTCTACAGGCTCTACAGTTAGAGTCATTAGGTTCTGTAAATACACTGTGGAAATATACAGCAATGTATTCACATAAAAAAGTAATTTTAAATCAAATCAGTACTTTAACTCAAGTAAAACTCAAGTACTGGAGTTATATTTGACCAGGAGGATCTATACTTTGATTTAAGTAATGGAGATGTGAACTTTGTCCACCTGTTCATAAGAAAACCTCCTCACATAACATTAACACTCACATTATATTATATCATATTCTTATTTCTCCCCAGTATTGTTTGAGCCTTACGAGCCCGCCACACAACGTTTCACCACACATATTTGATTTATGCTAGCAGCAGCACATGTTATTACTGTTTATAAGCCTTTTGTTAGCTTGTCATCATTCAGTGGTTTCCTGTGAGACCTCACCTGAGATGAAAGTGCGAACTCAGCACATTAAAACTCAGGTTTAAACATGCTACATATCCACGTCCGGACGCCGCTTACCTTCACTATCTGGTCGTCGATGATTAACGGTCCCACAAAGGTAAGAACCGTCCCGAACACCACGGTCAGGACACCTGCCACCATGAACCCGACCGCGACTTTAGCTTTATTAACTGCCATGGCTCGTTACTGTTAGTGTTTATGTCCCGGTTTAGCTTGTTTACGTCCGGATGGTGACGGTTAAACGGGGCTAGCTAACTCTGAGCGACCGCGGCGGAGTCACAGCTGTTAACGTTGTTGTTTTAATGTTTACAGTCCACGCTCACACCGGCTCATTAGTGTTTCTGATCGATAACGTTGACCTACATCTATTGTCGCTGTATTTATAGTCTGCAGACCACGCCTCCGCCGCGCAGAGGATTCTGGGAATTGTTGTTCCCCACTCATTCTACACTCAACTACAGATTTTCACACATTAACAGTGGTGGAGGAAGTTTTGAGATGATATATATTAACTTAAAGTTAAAGTACTGAAAGTATGAAACGTTAAAGTACTAATAAAAATATATATAAAATATGAAATTTCCCCTGTGACTAAAATATTATCGTATATCGGTTGTGGAAGACATATTCAAATTACATATATTTTTATAAATATATTGTTTTACATGTAGAGTTTTATTAAAATTATTTTCTTTTGTTTTTTCTGTTTTATTAATAAAGCGTTTTTTTTTGTTTTTGTTTTTGGAAGACTGTGTGGAAGCCAATGGTGATCCAAATAAAGTAATAAATATATATATATTAACTAAAAATGAAAGTACTGAAAGTATGAAACGTTTAAGTACTCATAAATATATATGAAATGTAAACTAGCCCCAGTCACTGAAATATTATTATAGGCCTACATCAGACACATATAGATGATATACATTCACTAAAAGTACACATAGACAAAATATAAAATATAAAGTTAAAACAAAATGATTGAAATTGAAATTGAATTTGCAAAGACTAGCAAACATCAAAGTTTCACTTACAATGAGCTCAGTTGATGTTCTGTCACTTTTAGTTAGTTAGTTAATTACATAACTTACAATACAGGACAATGATGAGGCCAAACAACACGGATACAGTATCAACAAACAACATGATTTAAAAATAAAAATAAAATTAAATGTAATAAAATGAGAGATGATATTTTGAGTGCTGCGCTGTACACAGTTTTGTTGACTCCAGCTTGTCTTTATCGCTGCGCCATATACTGTATAGTCTATGTGTGAAACAGACTGTATTCTAGGTGGTACAGTAAAGATTGCCTATATATGTAGAATAAATGGCAGTAAAGGCTTTACGTGTCTGTGAAGCTGCAGTAATCAGCGCTTTCTGCAGAGAAAACTGCAGCACGCTTTTATCTGCTGCTCTCAGACTGATAAACATGCAAATAAAGAAAACTGTGCAGAAAACTGTGACATAATTTGCATTTGCGCAGATAAGAAGAAAGAAAAAGAAGACACTGTTCTTCCTTTAATAATCCGACAATGAAGACCTTCAGACTTTATTTTCACAACTCTACTGTGACTTACTTTAATGATTTGGTCCTTCATCACCGCTGGCCCCACAAACAGAAGAACCGCTCCAAAGATCACCGTCAGAGCACCTGCCACTATAAATCCAATGGCTACTTTGGATTTATTTATGCGCATGGCTGCTGCTGCTGCTGCTGCTGCTGCTGCTGCTGCTGCTGCTGCTGCTGATGATGATGATGATGATGATGAGGTTTTGCCTCTGAGTCTGCAGAGCCACCGGGCTGAGGTGTGACTGGGAGCTGCTGTGTGTTAGAGTCCAGCCGTGGACGGTGGTTGATGGACTGAGAGGAGGCTGAGGTCCGGTGCGCTGCCTGTGTTTATACTGTGCAGACCCCGCCTCAAACCCTCACGCTGCAGGGGCGTGTGTAAACTACACACTGTGCACTTCTCTCCCAAAACCATGCAAATTCATGTGAAGTCACACTGAAGTCAGATGACAGCTCCACTTGTCGCTGTATGTTGTTTTGTGTAATTTGAAGCAGCGGTGAAGTTGGACACCCAACTCAGATCATGCCGACACCTCCAGACTCTGACTGCTGTATGTCTATGAAGCTGCTTCTGTCTGATGGAAACCTGGTTTTCAGTTGACTTTACCTGACATCAGCTGCTGAAGAATTTTGAATAGAATAGAATAGAATAGAATAGAATAAAAAGCCTTTATTATCATTGCATTTGAAATATAATGAAATTAGGAGTGCTTCACCTGGATGGTGCATGTAAGTTAAAAAAAGAAACATAGTGTAGAATATATATAAAGTGCCACTCCTGCACATTGCATTATTTTCATTTTGAGTGCTGAGTGAGAGAGTGAACGGCCCTGGGAAAGAAACTGTTCATGGCTCTGGTGGTCTGAGTTTTTAATGACCTGAGGGCAGAGGGTCAAACGGGTCGTGGCCAGGATGAGAACAGCTTGTGGACAGGCAGCGAGGGAAGAGAGCAGCTGGTGATTTTCTGTGCTGTGTTAATAACCCTCTGCAGAGCTCTTATGTTGAGACACGCTCCACTGTGGAGCGGTAAAAGGCCACGAGCGGCTTCTCATTCGGATTCTTTGCTCTCAGGACTCAGATCAGGTAAAGAAGAGCACGGAAAGTGCATGATAAGAGCTGGTTAGGTATGTTAGTGTGTTAGAGGTGTTAGGAGACGAGGTTAGAAGTTAGAAGTTAGCTGCTGCTCTGATAGCATTCGGCTTGTTCCACCATCAGGGAACCAGAGACCAGAACAGTCTGGACTGAGTCTTGTGTGCAGGGATGGTGATGAATATCCACTATATGAACATCTGCTGCATGCATTACCATAAGGAACAGCACCTACACTGCAGTCATAGCAACTGAAATACATTATATCATGACTGTCCACTTCCTGCTCAGACAACAGTCAGAAGGTGCGTTTCCAACCTAAAAGAAGAGTGATGGATACATGTGAACGAACGACACATGAGGAGGTTTTCCAGATTATTCAACAAATCCATATTACGCAAAATTGAAATGGAAACACTGATTAACTTTCTTTCGCTTTCATGTCGTGGCACCTGCCGCGTCAGCTCCACCTGAAGCCAGGTTTCCATCGCAGTTCTGATGGTATTCGAATAAAGCTGGGTTTTCTGCTCTTCTGAAACGTGACGACACATTTCCAGCTTGTTGCTGTGTATCTCCCAGATGTGCTAAAGTCTTGAGGTCGATAGAAGGTCATTGTCGTGTTAGAGAGGGATGTGGTGGACTCTCTGATTTGCAGAGTTGACCTCCTTAATGCTAATTATCCAAAAGAAATGGTTTGTCGTGGACAATCTTTCGCCACAACAGCGTGAGATCAGGAACTCTCATTGTCCCCGACCTCAGCACTCAGCAGTTAGAGGGCTCATATGCCAGATGTTTTTTAGTTTCGGGTTATCTTGAAGAGGGAATTCATCTAGAGGTCACATACTGTGGTATCCCACACTTTTCCACCTATTGTCTTCATCAGAGTCGTCCATCATAAAGAGAAATGAGGAGAAACTACTTTAACTGTGGTGAATCCCAATGTTTCACACACTCGTTTACAAATGAATGACAAAGACGTAAAACTCACAGTTCTGCTGGTCAGTAAGTAAAACCAACTGTTTAATGTTTGTGTTTTATTTATCTATGTAGACTGTAATGTGTCTTCCTGTCTGTAGTTATGTCGTTGTACACTGTGCAATGACAATAAAGGCATTGTACTGGACAGAGATGCAGCCCTGGTACCAAGAACAAAAGCAAACTTAAAAGACTAAAATCTTTGCTCTAAAATGTTCAGAATAATGACAAACTTAAAATCTAAAAGCTTCAATCAGAGAAACTAAACTCCAGAGCTAAAGCTGTCACGGTATCAGATTTTCACTACATGACTATGGTGGCCAAAAGATTTCACTATAACGAGATTATAACGATGTCTGTGTCTGTGAATCCGTCTCAGATGAGTGTACGGAGGCGAAGAGAGAGTAAAAAGGTACAAAAAGTACAATTACACTTGATGGAGAATGAAAAGAAAACCAGATGAACCAAAGATCCACAGGCCTAACATCTGCCATCATATTATCATCCGTGTATCATTAACACAGTACAGATATTTCCTTTATTAAATATCATCATCATCGTGCATCAGGACAACCCTGGGAGGATCTGACCCAGGAAGAATTTGAACAATTTTTATACATTAGAGAAAAAAACAACGAGCTTGATTCTGTCTTTAATGTTTCAGTTGTATTTAGTGGATGAATGAAAAAGAGAAATGAGGAGGATGTGAAGGAGGACAATTTGAAGAAGTAGTTCCAACACATTCACGGCGGATTGTTGTTATTACACTTTGGATTTGGAGCGATTAAACGAAAGAGATAGAAGATGTTAATCAATGAGCTTCACAGGTGATGTAAAGGACGGAGCAAGGCTAGCTGTGTCGCCCTGTTTCCAGGACTTTGTGCTAAGCTAAGCTAACCCGCTGTAGCCTCATATTTAACAGACAGATCAGTCCTTCTCGGTGCAAGTGGAAGTGGATCGTTGTGAATGAGTGCAATCTCGTGTCATAACCCTGTTTATTGCAGTCAGCTGTGGTCCCCGAGCGCTCACATAGAGGAAAGGAGCGGGAGAAGACTCGGTCAAATCTGAAGGGTAAAACAAGGAGGAAGCAGCAAAGGAAGCCAAGACGCCATTAAAGTTCAGAGAAGATGGAGAGCACGGAGGAGATACCCAAGGTCAGCTCTGGATAGGAAGCATTTCATTTTGGAGGTTAGCCTTAAGTGTAGGAAACAGGATTGGGTGTTGTTTGCCGTTGGGTTTCCTGAAATAAATTCAGATTCATGTGAAGAATGGCTCCCATGTCTGCGTGATATTGGCGTGGAGGAAAGCGAGGTCAGTCTTGATGGCACAGGTCAGGTCCGCAGAGCCCAATAAACGAGGTGCTGTATTTTGTATTTTTTCCTCTTTCTGTTTTCAACCTGTTTACACAGGATGTCTGACCTGTCTGTTGCCGGGGGTTACCTGCGTTCACGGGACAAGATGAGGCAGAAATCACACATTCAGACAATTAATCAAACGAACAAAACTAATAATAAATAGTAAAAAATAAAGGATAAAGAGAAAAATGGTGAAAGGGTGAAAAGGTTTCAAACCAGCACTGAATAATAATAATAATAATTCTGATAATAACCTTTTCATTGATGCTCACAGTGGACAGGTAGAGATGTTTGGTTTATGTTTAGCCCCGTGCTGTGACGCCCCCTGGAGG